GGGGTGGGGCCTACAAGGGCTCGTGGGGGCGGAGCTCGTGGGAAGAGTGGCAGACACAGGAAGGGGGCTGGGCCTGGGAGGGAAGGGAAGGGACAAGCAGGGGCGAGGCGTCCGGAGCCGCCCTATCTCTTTGCGCTTCTCCCCAGGTTCTCCTGAGCAACGCGCTAGCCTGGCTGAGAGGCTCCAAGGAAAGACTTTACGTTCTGCCCCTACCTCAACATCAGTATCTGCCCCCTCAGCCAGACGGCGGCGCGCGTGAGCCGGGCGGGAGGGTGAAGTGGAGGCGGAGCTAGGGCAGATGGCTGTGGGGGGATGGGAGGGTTTTGACATTCTTTTACTGCCGGGAGCGGTGGCTCGTGCCTATAATCCCAGCACTTTGGGAGACCGAGGTGAGAGAATTGCCTGAGCCCACAGGTTCGAGACCAGCCCGGGCAACTTGGCGAGACCTCATCTCTACAATAAATCAAGAAAAATTAGCCAGGCGTGGTGGCGCGTGCCTGTAGTTCCAGCTACTTGGAAGACTGAGGCGGAAGGATCGCCTGAGCCCAGCAGGTTGAGGCTGCGGAGGCCGTGAGCGTGCCACTGCCCTCGAGCCTGGGAGACAGTGAGGCTCCTACTCAAAAGAAAAAAGAAAAAACAAATTCCTTTGGAGGACTGTACTGGGGCGAGATTACCTGGGGCACAGTGAAGTCCTGGCAGGACAGAGACTAGTGCACTATGAGGGGGCTTGACCTGGAGGCCCGTGATGGCACCGGGATCGCCCAGGGGCATTGATGTGCAAAGTGGTGGGCGGGTTTGGAGAAAGTCTGCTGTGACCCATTCCCTCCCTGACCCTCCCATCCCAGTTCCAGGTCACCATTTATAACCCCCTGGGGCGGAAGGTGAATTGGATGGTGCGGCTGCCGGTTCGTGAAGGTGCTTTCTTCGTGAGGGACCCCAATGGCAGGAGGGTGTACAGCTATGTGAGCCCTTTCAATGAATATCACCCCTGGACACCTATCGCTATGGATATTACCCCTTCCCTCTTGGGTGTCACCCCCTCATAGATGCCCCCATCCATGAATATCTCCTACCCATTAATAACTCTTGCCTTCTATCTTTCCCCTTTGCCCCTTAATATCAGCCCCCTGGGGAACATCTGCCTCCCATGAATGGTCTCCCCCCCTTTTTTTGAATCAGAGTCTCACTTTGTCACCCAGGCTGGAGTGCGGTGGCATGCTCACGGCCACCACAGCCTCGACCTGCTGGGCTCAGGTGATTCTTCGGCTCCGCTTCAGCCTTCCAAGTAGCTGGAACTATAGGCATTTGCCACCATGACCAGCTGACTTTTTTTTTTTAATTGTAGCGAGGAGGTTTCGCCATGTTACCCAGGCTGTCCTCGAACCCCTGGGCTCAGGCAGTCCTCTCACCTCAGCTTCCCAAAGTGGCTGGGATTACAGGTGTGAGCCACCATGCCCAGCCTGGTCTCCTTTTTTGATATGACCCACCCCCCCGAGAAATTTTCTTTTTTGGATATACCCTTCATCTTTATGGATATATCCTTCATTCCAGATGGTCTCTTCCCTCCGGCCTCTTCCTTCCCAATAATCTTTCCCTCACTCTTGCCTCAAGTATCTCCTCCCCCATTTCCTCCCTTACTTCTCCCCCTGGGTGTCTCTCCATCCTCCAAGTGGATTTTTTTTCTACCTTGTGAATCTTTTCTGTAATATTTTCTTGAAATCTGACAACCCTCATTTGCCAACACCTATGTTTCTTTTCTCTATTCTAGGACTCTTTCCCTTCCTTGAGTTTGATGCCTCCCTGGAATGTATTCCTTTATGTGTGTACTCACAGCCTCTTGACTCAGTTTCTCTTCTCCTTTATTCAAGGTGGTGATGGTTCCTAGCTCGGACAGGCAGATGTACCATCCAGAGCTGCTGTTCTCAGCTTCAGTGCCTGCTCTGGGCTTCAGCACCTACTCGGTAGCCCAGGTGTCTGACCAGAACCCCCAGGCGCACATCCCCCGCCCCAGCCCCAATGTCTTGGCCATTGAAAATGAGGTGAGACTCCATTTAGATCCTCTTCCCTGCCCCGTGACAGATTTGAATTGTTATGGTTAGCTGCATAGTCTCTGTATCAGCAGTTCCTGGCTTCCTGGTGAACCATCACCCCTCTCCTGATTGTGTGTCTTTGAGCAAGTGACCCTTGTCTGAACTTCCATGTCCTTTGCTGGGGCTGTTATGAGGACCCAGTGTGATCATGGGAGATACTTGATGGATATGTCAGAGCTGGTGACTGGAAATGGTCTGTAGTTTTGGAGGGGGAATGTTAGGGGTTCCTGACAAAGAGAGCGAGTTGTGTGACTATTTGGGGGAAGAGAGATCCAGGCAGGCAGAAAACAGGCACAAAAGTCCTCAGACAGGAGAGTGTGCGGTATTCTAGGAGCTGCAAGGCACCCAGGGTAACTGATACTGGATAAGGAGGTGACAGGTTAGACCTTGAGGCTCTTGAGGGCTGACAAGGAGATTTGGCTTTTACTGTGAAGGAGCCACGGGCAGGACAGGACTGTATTAAGACTGTCATGGGCCCTAGCACTTCTGCTTTTGTGAACTGCTTCTTCCGTTAAAAAAAATGTTAAAAACTATATTTTATGATGGTGTTGGTATAAACACAATCTGGGCTGGGCACAGTGGCTCATACCTGTAATTCTAGTGTTTTGGGAGGCCAGGGCAGGAGGATTGCTTGAGGCTAGGAGTTCGAGACCAGCCTGGGTAAAATAGTGATAACTTGTGTCTACAAGAATTTTTTTGCCAGGTGTGGTGGCTCACGCCTGTAATCCCAGCACTTTGGGAGGCAGAGGCGAGAGGACTGCCTCAGCTCAGGGGTTTGAGACCAGCCCGGGCAACTTGGCGAGACCTTGTCTCTACGATAAATTAAAAAATTAGCTGGGTGTGGTAGTATGCACTTATAGTTTCAGCTATTTGGAAGGCTAAGGTAGAAGGAGTGCTTGAGCCCAGCAGATTAAGGTTGCAGTGACCGTAAGTGTGCCACTGCACTCTAGTCTGGGTGACAGAGCAAGACTCCCAACTTGAGAAAAAAAATTAGCCAGGTATGGTGGGACACACCTGGAGTTTGAGGCTGCAGTGAGCTGTGATCGTGCCACTGTACTTTAACCTGGGCAACACAATGAGACCCTGTCTCCTTATTAAAAAAAAAATCCAGGTAGGCTTCATTATAATATGTTTATCATTATCATATTCAAGTTTTTTTGTAATTCTAAAATAAATTAAAACATCTCCACATCCCCCTAAAAGTCTTATGAGTTCTGACATTGTGGTTCCTGGGTCAGATGCCCATCAGTGCTGGTCTGGAGCAGACGAGAGCTATGATGAAACTGAGGGTGTCACGGGTGCCCTCTGGATGTTGTGGGGAACAGACTGTGGGGGACCAGCCTGGAAGCACAGGGACCTAGAATGGGTTGATAGCACTAGTCCTGGAAGGTCACGGAAGTGGTGAGAAGTGGTGGGATTGAGGACAAGGTTGAAGGTGGGGCTGTTTGGATTTGCTACTGAGATAAAGTGTGAGCAATTGAGAGAGTGACAGGAAGTAAGGGTGACTTCAGTCTTTTGTCCTAAGCCCGGGGAAGGATGGAGCTGCTGTTGGCTAAGGTGATGGTCATTAATATCTGTCTGTTCTTTTCTGCTCAGTACATCCGGGCAACATTTGACCCTGACACAGGGCTTTTGAAGGAGATTATGATCATGGATCAGAAATTCCAGTTGCCTGTTTATCAGAACTTCTTCTGGTGAGGGAGGACCACCAGGCCTGGGAGTAAGGGGTGATGCATGGCATGGTGCATTGAACTGGGGTCTCTTACCTGACTCTTACCTGCCCCGGCCCCAGGTACAATGCCAGCACAGGTGACAAACAAAGCCGCCAGGCCTCAGGTGCCTACATCTTCAGACCCAACCAGCCGAAGCCATTGCCTGTGAGCCACTGGGCTCAGACCCGCCTTGTGAAGGTCTGTGACCAGGAATCATGAGTGGGGAATTGGGGAAGGGAGGTGGGGGGTCTGGAGTCTGGGATGGTGGTGAGCCATTTGTTAGGGGATTGAGGGAGGATTTATATATCTTTCAAATAGGGGCTAAGGCTGCCTCACACCTGTAATCACAGCACTATGAGATGCCAAGGCAGGAGGATCTCTTGAGGCCAGGAGTTTGAGTTTGAGACCAGCCTGGGTGACACAGCAGCGAGACCCTGTCTCTACAAAAAAAAAATTCTTTTTTAATTAGCTGGGCATGGTGGCATGTGCCTATAGTCGCAGCTACTCAGGAGGCTGAGGTTGGAGTATCACTTGAGCCCAGGAGACTGCAGTGAGCCTCAAAAAAACAACAAAAAAAAGGAGTCTAAAACCTGAGGGGAATACTTGAGGTCCTCCCACAGGGTCACAGGGTTGGTTATTCATGGCTGGTTATATTAGAGTCATTTCCAAGGAAGCTATCAAGGTATTCACTTCTGTTACAGGTGTCAGGATTACACAGGTTTGGAAATTGAGGGTGGGGTGTTCTTATGGGGCCCACGAATCTGGAAAGCCAAGCGCAGCTGCTGCAAGTGTTCACCAAGGTCTGTAGGAAGAGAAGTTTATATCTGGGGTGGATATGTGAGTGCTCACCCTTGGGTAGGGCTTGGGCGAGTCTCCCTTGGGGTGGATGTCTGAGGGTGCATCTGGCAGGAAACTGCAGTTTCTCCAGTCTTCTCATTGATGGTCCCTCATTTTTTTTTTTTTTTTTTTAGTTGAGTCTCACTCTGTCGCCCAGGCTGGAGTGCAGTGGCAAGCTCACGGCCACTTCAGGGTCAACCTCAGCCTTCCACCTCAGCCTTACAAGTAGCCGGAACTAAGGGGCGCGCACCGTTCCCGGCTAATTTTTGATTTATTGTAGAGACGAGGTCTCACCAAGTTGCCCAGGCTGGTCTTGAACTCACAAGCTCAGGCAATCTACTTGCCTTGGCCTCCCAAAGTGCTGGGATTACAGGCTGAGCCACTGGACCCAGGCCATGGTCCCTCTTAGGATGGTAATGGGGCAGATAATAGGACTCACATTTCATGAGATTCCCCTTGAGATGAATTCTGCCTACCTGGGCCACTGTATTAGGATCTAGTTTTGACTTTTATAACAGAGTTACCCAAATTAGCTGTGTCTAGAATGAGATAGAAGAGTCTTTTCTTCTGACAGAAAGTTTGGCTGGGCCATCCAGGGAAGGTAGGACAGTTCTACACTCACCGTGCTTCTTTTATTCCACTGCTCTGCCTTCCTCAATATTCAGCTTCCACCTTATGTCCCAAAATGGCTGCTCAGGCACCAGCCATCACAGCTGCGTTTGAGTCAGTGGCAGAGGGAAAGGGGCAAGAAACATTGTTCACACCATTCTGATCTACTTTCCATGGAGCAAACTAGGGTCACACAGTTACTGATAGCCTCAGGGAAGACTGGACAATATAGTCTTTATTTCAGGTAGCCATGTGCCAAGCTTGAATTTTATTCTAAGGAGAGGAGCGGGGGTAATGGTGGACAGCAAGCACTTATGCCACACTCAAGAATTATTGGCTGGGCATAGTGGCTCATGCTTGTAATCTCAGCATTTTGAGAGGCCAAGGCAGGAGGATAATTTGAGGCCAGGAGTTCAAGACAAGTCTGGGTAACATAGAGACATGCTGTCTCTAATAGGAAAAAAAGGCCAGGCACAGTGGCTCATGCCTGTAATCTCAGCACTTTGGGAGGTGGAGGCAAGAGGATTGCCTGAGCCCAGGGGTTCGAGAACAGCCTGGGCAACTTAGCAAAACCTCGTCTCTACAATAAATAAAAAAATTAGCTGGGCGTGGTGGCGCATGCCTGTAGTCCCAACTACTTGGGAGGCTGAGACAGAGGAATCATCTGAGCCCAGCAGGTTGAGGCTGTAGTGGCCATGAGTGTGCCACTGCACTGCATTCAGCCTGGGCGACAGAGTGAGACTCTGACTCAAAAAATAATTAGGCGACAGTGGCTGAAGTAGAAAGTGTGAGCATCACACCCAGGCTGTTAGTGGTGCTGGCCCTGATGGAGACCTTTGTGGGGCTCACAGGCAGGGTGGAGGGACATCTGTGGGGCTCTACCTCTGTTCAGGTGTGGGCTGACACCTGCCTCCACCCCTTTGTGCCCCCAGACGGCCTTGGTGCAGGAGGTGCACCAGAACTTCTCAGCCTGGTGTTCCCAGGTGGTTCGCCTGTACCCGGGGCAGCGGCACCTGGAGCTGGAGTGGACGGTGGGGCCAATACCTGTGGGGTGAGTGGCACAGGCTGGGAGTGGGGTGTGGGGAGAAGGGAAGATGGGGCTAAGGTAAGACTCACCACCTTGCCATCCCACTGAATACAGTGATGGCTGGGGGAAGGAGGTTATCAGCCTCTTTGACACGCCACTGAACACAAAGGGACGCTTCTACACGGACAGCAACGGCCGAGAGATCTTGGAGAGAAGGTGGGGGTGACAGAGGGCACCAAGGAGTGGTCTGTGGGGTGTTGGGACCCAGGAGTGGTGGGGACATCTGCTGATCACATGAATGTGGGAGGGGGAAGATAAAGAGGGATTCAGGAGGCAGGGGACCAGGCCCCAAGCCTGACCAGATCACACCCCCACTCCAGGCGGGATTACCGGCCCACCTGGAACTTGAACCAGACAGAGCCTGTGGCAGGAAACTACTATCCAGTCAACAGCCGAATTTATATCACGGTAGCCCTCCCCCCATCCTGCCCCTCCCCACCTCTGTGGAGTGGGAATCATCCCTGTCTCCCAGCTGTCTGGGGCTGGGGCTGGCTTGGGAGCACCGGCCCTCACTCAGCCCTCAACTCCAGGATGGTAACATGCAGCTGACTGTGTTGACTGACCGCTCCCAGGGGGGCAGCAGCCTGAGAGACGGCTCACTGGAGCTCATGGTAAGTGGGTCAGACCCCACCCATGCCAGGTCTCCCCCCCCGACTGGACCTTGAAGCCTGTTTCTGGCCTTGTGGTCCCCGCTAAGCTGAGAACTCCATCGCTATGCCACTGTTCCTTCACACTTTGATCCACTCCCCACTCAGACCCCCTTCAAGCTCTGACGTGCCCTATCCAAGTCCCCCTCTTAGGTACTTACCTCCCTCTGCCCTGGTCGCCTTGCTAGGCTGGATCCTGCTTCTGCTAGACCTCACCTTCTCTACCAGACCCTCACCTTCGTCCTCGTCCACTTCTCCCGCCTCTTAATTTCTCTTGACGTTCCCACAAGCCCTTACCCGATTTCGGGCCCAGGGACACCCGCCAGGCCCTCGATCTTCATTCTCTCCTGGCTGCTCTCCCCCCAGGTGCACCGACGGCTGTTGAAAGACGATCAACGGGGGGTAGAAGAGCCACTGATGGAGGAAGGGTCGGGGGCACGGGTGCGAGGGCGCCACCTCGTACTGCTGGACACGGTCCAGGCTGCGGCCGCCGGCCACCGGCTGCTGGCAGAGAAGGAGCTCCTGGCCCCGCAGGTGGTGCTGGCCGGGGGTAGTGGCTCCCCCTACAACCTCAAGGCTGCTCCCCGTACGCAGGTGAGGGACAGCGGAGCAGGCAGAAAGAGAAAGCCGGTGGCGGGGGGAGGAGATGGGTGGGGAAGGGTCGGGTGCGGGTGTTTCTAGGCTCCATGAGGGTCTGCTTCACCCGGAGGCATAACTAGCCTCATCCTTCGGGCAGTCCCAGCCCCCACCGGCCTGGTACCCACCAACAAGGACTGTGTCAGGCCGCAGCCTCAGCTCTTGCCCTCCTCACCTCGCCCCCACCCACGTCACTGCAGCCCCGCCCTCTCGCCCACTCACCTCCTCCGGCTCTGGCCCTCCTCGCCCCTCATTCCCCTCATGCGGCTTCATCCGCCGCGGAGCTCCAGTCTCAAGCCAGATTGGTTCTGTCCCCTTGGGACGCAGACTCGCCTCCAGGTTGAGACCACCCCCGACCTAGATCTGCCCCATCTCTTCATTGTCTCCGCCCTTCCCTTCACGGCCGGGCCGCCCCTCTCGGCTGAGTCCCACCCTTCTCCTGCTAAGCCCCGCCTCCCACAGCCTAGCTCCGCCTCCTGACCGCCGCTGGGCCATGCCCCACTCTACCCAAGCCCCGCCCCTGACTCAGCCCCGCCCCCTCTCCCCCAGTTCTCAGGGCTGAGCAGGGAGCTGCCGCCCTCCGTGCACCTGCTCACACTGGCCCGCTGGGGCCCAAAGATGCTGCTGCTGCGCTTGGAGCATCAGTTCGCTGAGGGGGAAGATTCCAGATACAACATGAGCTCTCCTGTGACCTTGGACTTGCAGGTGAGGAGGGGATAATTGGGAAGGAGACAGGAGAGGGGCAAGAGAGTGGGGAGAGGGGGAACCTGGCTTTGTCCCCACTTACCTGGGCCCATCCTCTGCCTGCAGGACCTGTTCTCCACCTTCACCATTACCCACCTGCAGGAGACGACGCTGGCAGCCAACCAGCTCCGGGCCACCGCCTCCAGGCTTAAGTGGACACCAGACATGGGTGGGCACCTGGCTGCGGGTGGGGCCCTGCCTGGGACTGACAGCTGAGGGGGGGCGTGCGAGTCATGGGATTGTTGGCCAAGATTGTTGGCCAAGAGCTTGAGGGTCTGGAGCAGAGTCCAGATCCAGATTCCAGGCTTAAGGATCTGAAGTGGGCCCAGCAAACTAGCAGTGGATCTTGAGGGTTTGGGAATGGAGTTTAGTCCCAAGAACAAGATTTGAGAGTTTCTGTCTGTGTCTAGTTCTGGGAGGTGTCCATCACCTCTGGGGTTGGACTGAGGATATAAGAGCAGTAGCCAGGCGTGCAATTGGAGAGGATTTGGGGACCTGGCATATTCAGGCCTGGGCAAGTGTTTTAAGAGTCTGGAAATGAGATCCTGGGGACATATTTGGGGGTGTATGACTGAGTCCAGGCCCAGGGGAGGGAACACTGTGGGGTGAGGCAGAGGAAGTCTGCACCCCTTCATTCCTCCTCTCTTTCTTCCCAGGCCCCAAACGCCACCACACTCGCTACTGGTTGGACCCGGCTGCTGTGACGCTGCAGCCCATGGAAATCCGCACTTTCCTGGCCTCAGTTCAGTGGAATGAGGATGGTTAGATCCACAAAGATGGCCGCTCCGAGCCTCAGCCTCCTGCTCTGGAGATGAGACAGACTCTCTTCCTTCTCTTACTATTGCTGTCACCAACAAAATCTATTAAAATTCTATTACTAAGACTCAGGTCACTGCATGATTGAGTGTAGGGTTAGGTGTGTGTGTGTGTGTGTGTGTGTGTGTGTGTGTGTGTGTAGGATATATAATTTGTGCCTGTAATCCCAGTGACTCAGGAGGCTGAGGTGGGAGGATCATTTGAGCCCAGGATTTTGAGACTAGCTGGGCAACATAGCAAGAATCTGTCGCTACAAAAAATTTAAAATTTAGCTGGGCATGATGGCACACACCTATAGTCCCAGGTACTTGAGAGGCTGCGGTGGGAGGATTGCTTGAGCCCAGGAGCTTAATTGAGGCTGCAGTGAGCTGTGCCACTGTACTCCAGCCTGGGCGACAGAGTGAGAAGCCATCTCTAAAAATAATAATAAATAAACAAAAATGACCCAGGAAAGTCAGAAGCCCAAGCTGATCCCTGACCCAGTACCTTGCAGGGAGGTCACTTGCTGGCTCGAATCCTCACACTAGACCCTACACAGGCCTCACCCTTCACTTCTTCCCATACCTCCTTCTTTGCATCTCTGTCCACCCAGGCACAGTTGTCGCCAGAATCTACCAAGACAGGCTGATGCTGGACCTGGGCCCAAAGGACCAGATACACCCTGAGTTCTTCCTGACCTGGCCATGGTGGGGATGCTGAGAGGTCCTGGTTGAGGAGGTGGGTCGAGAAGCAAGTCCCAAAGTGAGGTGGGCTGGAGCTGCCAACCTCCCCAGAGGCAGGTGCTTCTGTTGTGCTCTTGGGTCTGTTAAGGCAGAAGGAGATACTGAGATTAAGCCCAAGGTTTAGAGTTGAAAGCTGATTTCCCCTCCTGTCAGTATTGCCTTGTGCAAGACCCTTGATGGCTCATGGAGACAAGACTTCCCAGGCCTACCTGTAGCCCGCGTGAAGACCAGTGTTTGGATGTGCCTCCCAGCACTTTACAAAGTCACCCTCCCAAAGTGGGACTGCCTGCGACAGATGGGGACATGGGAGGAGAGTGTTGCTAGTACTTCTCAGTTTTCTAGGCCAGGCATGGTAGCTCATGCCTGTAATCCCAGTACTTTGGAAGGCCAAAACAGGAGAGCTTCTTGAGAGGATTAAGGATTGAGAGGATTGAGACCAGCCTGGGCAACAAAGAAAGACCCCATCTCTACAAAAAATCGAAAAATTTACTGGTATGGTGGTGTACGCCTGTAGTCTCAGATACTTGGGAGGCTGAGGCAAGAGAATCACTTGAGCCCAGGTCAAGGCTGCAATGAACCATGATCGTGCCACTGCACTCCAGCCTGGGCAACAGAGTTAAACTCTGTCTCAACAAAACAAAACAAAATAAAAAGTTTTCTAGCTGGGCGTGGTGGCTGATGCCTGTAATCTCAGCAATGTGGGAGGATCACTTGATCCCAGGAGTACAAGACCAGCCTGGGCAACATAGCAAGATTCCATCTCTAAAAAACTTTTAAAAATTAGCTGAGCATGGTGATACACACCTGTTGTCCCAGCTACTTGGGAGGCTGGGATGGGAGAATCACTTGAGCCCAGGAGTTTGAGGCTGCAGTGAACTATGATTGCACCACTGCACTCCAGTCTGGATAAGATCTTTTTTTTTGAGTTGGAGTCTCCTCTAGCCCAGGCTGGAGTCCAGTGGCATATTCATGGCCACTGCAGCCTCAACCTGCTGGGTTCAGGCAATCCTGCTTTAGCCTTCCAAGTAGCTGGAACTACAGGTGTGTGTCACCAGGCCTGGCTAATTTTTTGGTTTATGTAGAGACGAGTCTCACCATGTTGCCCAGGCTGGTCTCAAACCCCTGAGCTCAGGCAATCCTCTCGCCTCCGCCTCCCAAAGTGCTGGGACTAAAGGTGTGAGCCACCTAGTCTCTTAAAAACAATTTTTTTTTTCAGCTGGGCCTAGTGACTCATGCCTGTAATCCTAGCACTTTAGGAGGCAGAGATGAGAGGATTACCTGAGCTCAAGAGTTCGAGGCCAGCCTGGGCAACATGGCAAGACCTCATCTCTACAAAAAAATAAAAATAATAAGTTAGCTGGGCATGGTGGCATGTACCTGTAGTTCCAGCTACTTGGAAGGCTGAGGCGGAGGGAGTACCTGAGCCCAGCAGATCGAGGCTGCAATGGCTGTGACCGTGCCACTGCACTCCAGCCTGGGAGACAGAGTGAGGCTCCAACTCAAAAAAATTTTTTTCCCCTCATCTCCCACCCGAGAAAGTGACTCACCTGGTTGTGGTCCTACATAGGGGTCAGTCTTAGGAAGCACCAACTGCAAATGTTCCTTAGCCCCCCTCTGATGACAAGGACTGGCCCAGGTGGAAAGGGATGCTAAGAGAGGGTGGTACTATGCTGGCCTGTAGTGTTTTCTAGTATACCTCCAATAGACCTGTCTGGCCTGGGCCAACTAAGAATGCCAAGTGAGGTGGCAGGGGAAACCCCACATCCTGCTGTGGTTTCTTCTGGGACCTGATCACCAGATGTGCCTCCCTTTTTCTCCCTGTCCCTCTTGAGGAGAGCTGGGCCAGGCCAGCTAGTGAGGCCTGAAGTGGGTTCCTTGTGTCCATCTGCCACATGGGACCTGTTATTGGAGGTACCCCTGAACACATTTCTTTTTTTTGCTTTGTTTTTTGAGTTGGAGTCTCACTCTGTCACCCAGATTGGAGTGCAGTGGCACACTCCCGGCCACCGCAGCCTCGACCTGCTGGGCTCCGGCAAGCCTTCTGCCTCAGCCTTCCAAGTAGCCGGAACTACAGACGCGTGCCACCACACCTGGCTAATTTTTTGATTTATTGAAGTGATGAGGTCTCACCATGTTGCCCAGGCTGGTCTCGAACCCACAGGGTCAGGCAATCCTTTTGCCTCGAACTCCCATAGTGCGGGGATTATAGGCTTGAGCCACCATGCTGGGCCTCCTGAACACATTTCTTTTTTTTGTTTGTTTTTGAGTTGGAGTCTCACTATGTCACCCAGACTGGTGTGCAGTGGCAGCTCCTGGCCACCGCAGCCTCGCCTGC